AGAATTACTAATGAGATCTTGGGAGTGAGAGGGTTAAGGTGATGTATCAAGCATCAGTCCTTCATCTTTCACTCCAATGAAGGGCTTACACTCTAAACATCAGCTTCTTTAGAAATTTACCTGCCCTCCTCTTGGGAACAACATTCTCACTTTCAAAGACAAGAAACAGGTGATATTGATTAATTACCAAATTACCATACAGATGGAAAAGTTGTAGTTTTCAAAGATCTAAATTATAAAATGATTTCTGCTAGCTGGAACTGTATTTTATTTTGTGTAAAGAGTGCGGTAGTGTACTCAGACCAAAGGGAAAAACATATTAAGCTGGTTCACCCTTCAACCCCCATAAGTGACAGACAGAATATCAATACAATATCAACAAGATAAGTAATGAGAATAAAAAAAATATCAATTTGTGAATAAGTTGATCCAATACTAAATTCTCCGAACTAACATCATAAGAAATGTATGGTTGACAGTAAAGAGAACTACAGATTTGATCTGGGAGTTAAAGGGTTAAAATCAATTTGACCTGAAATTATCTATAAACCGCGACAAAGATATATAAGTCAGAGGTGTCAACATGAACAGCACACTCGAAGTACAACTACTGTCTTTTCTACTTCTTTTTGCACTTCTAGATATGAAATTGAAGCTGTCAGAAAAAGTTTATTGTCTTCTGAAACACAGAACTCCACCATGCCCTGGAGTACAACTGAAAGAATTTTTCGTTGGATGGATGAGATTCGCCAACAGCTTGGAGTTGTTTACAAAGAAGACATTTAGAAAGACCTTTTGGGTTTCCTTGGAAACAAGAATCCTCTGTACCCACCCACCCCGCCCTCGAGCCAAAAACAATTATACTTAACCGTTTAACTCCATGAACAACCGAGACAGAATTTCTCCTTACAGTATTAATACAATATCAAGTAGACAAATGAAGAGAATAAAGAAAAATATCAATGACGGGGTTACTTGTTGATTCGTTATCAAATTCTTCCATCTAACATCATACTAATTGTATGACAGAAAGTAAGGAGAACTACTGACAAGATCTTGGGGATGAAAAGGTTAAACAACTAGCCATCGCTGTCCAGGCAAAATAACGGCCATAAAAACAGACCCCATTCCACTAGGACACATGATTTTTCTCTAAAGCAGAAGCTTTATTCAGATGAGTTTGTTTTCTTACAATGAAATTCAGTATCAGCATCTTCTCTTGATAATAAATCTTTTACCAATAATCAAAGAACTACTGACAACAACTTCTCTCACACATAAGACCTGTAACTAAATCACCAGAGGTTGACTTTGAGCAACATGCTGCAAGATTAAGTGTTGCTGCAATGACAAAGATTTTCACAAAAATTATCTGCCTCAAATGAACCAAATTGTTCCTGTAACTGGATCATTCATGTTAGCATTTCAATCACTATTGTTTTACAGAAAGGGTTACATATCAATTACAAAACTTTCCAAGACCAACAAAGTAACCCTTTAACTCCCATGAGTGACCAAGACAGAATTTCTCCTTACAGTGTCAATACTGTATCAAGCAGATAAGAGATGAGAATAAAGAAAAATATCAATTTGGGGATAATTAGTTGATCCAAGGCTAAATTCTCTGAACTAACATTATAAGAATTGTACAGTTAAAAGTAGGGAGAATTGCAAATTTGATCTGGGAGTCAAAGGTTAAGTAACAAAAACTCAGGGCTCAGACTTAAGTCACAAACTGCAGATCAACCTCTTACTGTAAACTACACAAAACATTTATGATAATTAACTCTCAACTCCCATGAGTGACCAAGACAGAATTTCTCCTTACAATATCCATACAAT